TCTTTCCCCCAGCTCTGCATGCCCACATACACTATACTTTTTCCTTTTATATTGCCCCGAAAAAGGCATGCCGATATATACTCCCTCCGTCTGAAAATACTTGTCACCAAAATGGATAAAAAGAGATGTATTCAGATACATCTCTTTTTATCCATTTTGGTGACAAGTATTTTCGGACGGAGGGAGTATTAGTATGACCAAGCATTGCCGAGTCCGGTGAGCTACATTTGTCCGGGTGAAATTCAATTGATGGATTTCACACGTGGCTTGAAAATTTTGGGTTCACAAATGCCGGTGTGATTTTCATGTTTGCCAATGGTGAAATAACTTACGAGAGGTTAAAGGCCAATTGGAGCATGCTACATAGTTTATGGTTACCGATTTAAGATAAGGGGGAAAGAATTTGACATGCGATTGGCAGTTTGGCACTTGAACCTCATGTGGCATGTTTGGTTTCAAAGCAAACAGCCATGTCATCATATCCCTCTATTGACACAAAATATCAAGTCGGTAGTTATAGTGACAGCTCATGTAACGGCACAAATTGGCACCACAATGTAACATATACTACAAAAATGAAGATAAAGTGGATGGCGGAGGAGAAGGGTGCCGTGTCGGCGCTAGGACTACTGCCCACGTAAGAAGCTCACATCTTTTTCTAAATGAAATATGTAATACCGAAATCCATTTTGGCTCTAGCTAGGGAGCACATGCTCCTACGTGTCAAAAATGGATTTTACAAATGTCAAAAATAAAAATAAAAAATAGATATGTCCATTGTCACATCCAAATGGTACATGTAAATTTTTATGGGAAAAACTTAAGCATTTTGACCAGTGAAACCCCCCCAAGTCAAACGCCAAATATTACCTTAAATGTTCCACTTAATTTTTTTTCACTGACGAAGCACTGCTTTCCCATATGACAATAAAATTGTCAAGCACACTTGCTACACTAATACGAACATCTACAAAAAAATTCACAATTTTTAAAATTTATTTACTATTTTTTTTGATTTTTCTGTTCATTAGGGAGCACAGTATCCTTTGTTTTTGTAATACGTATGTATGTAATGGGTGGACACTCGGCCGTAATATCAGTGTTTTTGGGGAGAGAGTGACTCTTGAATCATGATTACCTTTAGAAAAAACACTGCTACTTGATATGGTGGCCTCCACTATCTCCCAATGATATGTTTCACCCAGGTCAAAAAGGGAATAAAAATGACATGTTTCACTAGGCCATGTACTAGCATGTAGTGGCGCCTTCTGGCCCTGACAGGACGGAAAACAACACACCCACAGAAAGGGCTCGATCGGAAGGTTAGATGCTAAGCAACCACGCGATTAGGAAAAAGAAAAGGCCGAGCCTGAGAAGGACTCGTTAGCGAGACTGCTATATTTAGCATGAGATGATGCGTATATATATATATATATATATATATATATATATATATATATATATATATAACAGAGTGATTTGAGCAGCCTAGCTAATGATGCAGTTCCGTGCTGTTGTTTAAATAGCTACTGTTTACCTACAACCAAAGAAAGGTGGGAAAATGACACTGATTATTAGTATCATGTGGATTTTTAGTACTGGTGTGCAATGGAGCTAAAGTGTCTTGTGCAGTGTAATGCTATTTTGATTTGTTACTTTAAGCAATTAGTATTACTAGAGAAAAAATTGCGCAATAGAAAAACATCATTGATAGTCTAAACTTTTAGCCTACGGTAGTATAATTTCAACTGTAACTCGGAGAAAAGTATGTTGGAATGTTTTCGCAAGTTTCACATATCCTTTACCAACAAAAGCAAAGTGGATTCGAATTGATCTAGCAAGAAACCAGCTAATTAAATACTATTATTATTATTTTTTTCCCTATGTATACGTACAGCCCAACTTTCCTTTTCATACCTACGTACATACACAGTACAATAGGCAATACTACGCAAGAGTCTTGCGTCATGATAATACTTTGCAGTTTTGACATAAAGAAACCAACCAACTACAACTAATAAGTGGTGCAATATGCTGACTTTGTGGTACGATCTTCCTCATGGGTCACATATATGCAATCATATCACAAAAGATTTGTCATTTCAGTAGTATCCGTCGCCCCATATTTAAAGGGGTGCCCATTGGTGCACCCATTTAAGAATTTTCATCTGCATATTTTTCAGTGCAAAAAGTCCACAAAGAAAACCCATATGGTACGTTTCTTTAGCAAAACAACAACTTCACATGCATGCTAGCTTGCCTTTTCGCGTGCCATCCGTTACTTTTGCATTTGGCAAAAGAGAAGAATTGAGAATTATACACTGTCATCTCATATGTTTCTGTTTATAGTAGTCTTGCTTAGGACGTAGTCCCTTTTCGGGAAAATTGTTTACGGCATACACCAAACCTTTGTGTGGAGTTCTTCTTTTGAGGGTCTTTGCGAGGAGTTGTTAAGGTGGGTCATGGACGCATTATTATTTTCCCAGGAAGTTGGGTTTGTGGTTGTGATTAGTGACTACATATACGTCTCTCCATTATTGTGACGTTTAATTGAAGGAACCTAAATGTAGCTTAGCTCAGGAATAAATTGAGATGGCAAGTAGCCATCACGGGTTCAGCACTGAACCGGCCGGCCACCATACCGCATGGCGCATGCGGTTCGAGCCTTAGCTAGAGCTGGAGTCGTGTCATCTCGGCCGTCAAATCGGATACCCGACTGGACATTGATCTCACCCGTCAAATCGTCACCGCAAGTGCCACTTGATTAGCTCATGATGCTGGTTCATCTCACATGGTGGGTTGCCACTGTCTTTTGAGGTTTAATTGTTCAAATTATTTCATATATATGCTTTTAAAATGCCAGTTCTCTAGAGCATCAGGCCTCCTTTGATTTGGAAGAATTTTGTAGGAATTTCATAGGATAGGATTTTCATAGAAAAATTTCCTATAGAGCTTTTTGGTTTGTAGGAATGGAATCCTATTCCTATTAACGGAATCTTCCTATCCTCTATATTTCATAGAAAAATAAGACTCAATGAAAAAATAAATATTAGCCTGGACTCAAATTATTTCATATATGTTTTAAAAATGTCGGTTCTCTAGAGCATCAGTATATTATAGGTCAGCACATTTTTTTTCCATTTTAGACAAGGTCCATACGAGAAGAAACCCTGATCAATCATAAATGCACTATAGTAGAGTAAATTCCAATGAAATGTAGCCAGCATTTGTGAAAATCTATGAAGTCACCTCACATAAATAGAGGGCAAGCTGAACTGATGATTGTACTGCTTAACCTATCGTGCAACAAACAATCACCTTTAATCAGAAGAGAGATTTGTTCTACATACATGCATGTGACGTTTCGAACAAGGGACAAGATCTTGCGCCGAAAACGAAAGAGGCAAAAGCAAATCCAGTAAGAACTTGTCGTTCCTCCGTGATACACCAACAAGCACCCAAATTAAACAATGTAGTAGTAGTAACCAGGACACAAGATGTAATTAAAACTAGAGGAAGTACTAGTAGCTAGTAGCAGCAGAGGAGTTGGACAATGGCAGTTTAGCTAACCTACCCAAAAACACTTCGGCTCCCGGTCTCCCACTAGGTCATATCCAGCACTCGTGTCTGCTTCCATTTATTATTTTATAGATTTGGCCTTTTTCTCCCTCTCTCACTCTCTCTCCTGTTGGTTTATCTTCATTTTGGCTTTCCAAGTTTGCTTGGGGAGAAACCAGTATTACAGCATTGTGTGCAACTTTTCTTCTGTTTTTTTTCTTGGCCAGATTTACCGAACATTGCAACATTTCTTGTAATATTTTCATTTTTTTTGCGCACCTCATTCCCACCAAGGCTATCAAAGTTGGTTGCGGAATTATTTTCACGAGTGAAAGAAAATCACCAAAGCATTGACGAGACGAAACACAAGGAATCTGCATCCGTTAGCTAGCTAGCTTCAAGCATCTGCGGGAACGTCACTTTCCAGCTTAAGTAACAAATTGACAAGATGAAGCACCTTTTTCAATTGTTATTTTCATTCTTTTCTCTCCTAGTAGTCTATTAAACCGTAGCTATCATTCGTTTCAGACATAAGCTGTTGCTCAACATTGTCAAACAGAAGAAAAACTATTACTCAAACGCCCATTTCTCGAAAGTTCAAAGGCCATTCTCCAAGTTACCCCACTTAGAAGCTGTTACTAAAAAAACTAAGTAAACTTATTTCAAAAAGCATTGTAATCAAATCAAAGAAGAAGAAAAAGGTTGGCTTGATGGGCACACCAGAGTAGATAGAGTGCGGGGGAAGGCCACACGGGCGCGCACACGGCAGGGCAGAGAGCTTCCCAAGCAAAGATCCCCCAGACGCAATACAAAAACGAGTAAAACAAGAGCAAAGCGGCCAAAGGAAAAGGAAATAGGAAAGGAGGCGCAGAAAATCCCCACTTCACTCGTCCCCCCTCTCTCTTCTACCTCTCTCTCTCTGCGTCCGTCCGCGCTCCCCAACCCCCCGCCCATGCTGTAACTACACTGCATCGAGAGTTCGTACCACGCCTCATCCTTCCTCCTCCTCTCAGGCAGGGAGGCGCG